TTTTTTTTTTTTTTTTGGTACTGGGGATTGAACTCGGGTCCTTGCGCTTGCAAGGCAGGCCACCGAACCACTGAGCTAAATCCCTGGCCCTACCCTATCTCAAAATAATGAAAACAAAAACAAAAATAGCCCACTAGTAAAAGGAAGGGATACATGTAGGGTAAACGTAAATGTATAAATATATAAACTATTATCACACACACACAAGGGCTAAGTATACTCAAGGCTGGTGGAAAATTCAGTTTGTAATTCGGGTGAAGACGTAGCTATGAAAGGCGGCAGCAGACAGTGAAGTTCATCCAGGTCCTCTGTCACAGGAGAGGGCTACGCTGTGGCGCGGAAGGGTGAGAGGAGGACCTGGGAGGAGCTGGCCAGCAGCGCAGTGAGCAGCGAGCTCAGAGGTGTGAAGGCCCAGCTTCCTGTCAGGACAGTTTGCCAGGGAAGAATGTCTGACGGAGCCCGCATTTCAGCCCAACGTCCAGTGGAGCAGGGTGGTTACCGGTTGAGAACTAGCAGACGTTTGAAGACTGCGACTGTGACCCGAGTGCCTTACAGGCCCCGCAGTCTGGCTCGCGGTGCTGGTGCTCTCCTGGGGCAGCAGTGTGGTTTCCCTTTGTCCACTGTGTCTTCATATTGCACATGGCCCCCCGAGGACAAGCAGGCTCAGGCAGTGTGGGAAGGCTGTGCGGGTGGGAGTTGGTTCTTCGACCACATCGTAAGAGGGATGTGTGAGGGCCAGGGATTTTATTTTCCCTACCAACAAGCCAGTAATTAGCCTGTTACAGTTTGGATTCTAACTTCAGAGAGCTCCCTCTTCTGTTGCTTCAAGTGGAGTTAAAGAATAAAATGATTTGCCTTCTCAGATACCCTGGTGTGTTCCTCCGTCCCCACTTTTATCCCTGTTCTTCATGTCTGTCGTCACTGTCTTGCTCCCTTATCCATGTGACGACCTTTCCGAGGGATGGGTAGGCCATGGGAGGTTAGCTTCGTGAGTTCGGGCTGTGCTGGACCAGTTTCCTGACGCTCACCGCAGGTGCCTTGTAGTGGACAAACCCCCCGGGGTGCAGTCAGCTCTCTCCAGTTGGTCCATATTGCTTTTCATTGATTACTGGCTTATCTTGGGTTAATCTCTTCTCAGCCTCCTCAGATGCCCTTTTTCTTCCTCTGGTTTGCTCTCCATAGCTGCATATTGCATTTGTGTCTTTTCTTTGCTTTTCTTTTTTTTGTGTGACAAGGTCTCACTATGTAGCCCAGGCTAGCCTCAAACTCGTGGTGATCCTCCTGCCTCAGCCTTCTGAGTTTACACACACTCCTGGGTTTACACGTGGGCCACCACAACTGGCTTGTGTCTTGGTGCTGTCGATATTTTGTATCTACCTAATTGTACGTAGGGGTTTATGAGGATACTTTATTTTCTAGGTTTTTTAAATGTTATCTGTGGACTTTTTCTGTTGCTGTTTAGAACTCAGAGCCTTCACACTGAAATACATCCCCAACCTTTCTTAAGATTTGAGACAGATTTGCAAGTGCAAGGCCCCAAGTTCGATCCCCTGTACTCCCCCCAAATTTGAGACAGAGTCTAAGTTGCTAAGTTACTCAGACTGGGCTTGAATTTACCATCCTCCTGCCTCAGCCTCCCAGAGTGCTAGGGTTACAGGTGTGGGCCCCCATGCCAAGCTCTCTGTTTTTATGTGGAGATCCAGAAATATCAAAAGGTTAGCTGTAGCCTTTTTGCTGAGTCCCACAGAAGGACCATGAGTGGGATGGTGACAATCATAAGTAGAATGGTGTCTCACTTAACATCTCTCATGGGCCAGAGATTTAGCTCAGTGGTTCAGTCGCCTGCCTTTGCAAGCGCAAGAGCCCAAGTTCGATCCCCAGTACCAAACAAACAAAAACCCAACAAAAAAACATCTCACATGGCGTAGACTCACTAGCTAGCCGCTGTTATTTAACTTTCTCTTTTCTCCAATCCAGAAGTGTTATTGAGTGTAATGTTCATTTAGCAGATGCCCATGGAAATAACTTCTCAAAAAAAAGAAAGAAAGAAGTAACCTCCTCATTCGCCTTCTCAGATTCACAAAGAACCTCTCTCCGGACAAAATCAACCTGAGCACCCTGAAGGGGGAGGGTCAGCTGACCAACCTGGAGCTGGATGAAGAGGTCCTGCAGAACGTATTGGAGCTGCCCACCTGGTTAGCCATCACTCGCGTCTACTGCAACCGGGCCTCCATCCGGGTGAGAATGGGCTCAGAGTCGTGCTGCTGTCCCTGGAGAGCGGGCCTGCCTTCATGCGGGGTGGTTCCACAGCCCTGAGTCTTCACTCTCCTCTTTCAGATCCAGTGGACGAAGTTGAAGACGCACCCAATTTGCTTGGTAATGGCCTTTCGTGATTGCAGTAATCAGATAGGGAAGGCTGGGGCGGTCCTTTAAAGGGTAGGAGTCCTGATAAGCTGACTTTTTTGGGAGTGGTAGGTTCGTCTTTTTTTTTTGAGACAGGGTCTCACTGTGTAGCTCACGCTGGCCTTGAACTCTTGGCTCTCCCTCTGCCTCAGCCTCCTGAGTGCTGAGATTACAGGCCCAACACTGTGCCCAGCCTCCTGTATTGCCCTGTGAACGTCTCTCTCAGATAGAGTGACTGTTACCTGGGCTCATGCTGGAACTTCTGTGCAGTGAAGGAATTAGCACTGAGACAAAAGACCTGGGACATTTTTTTTTTTTTTTTTTTATGG